TTACCTGATTGCTAAATGCGTTAAGGAAGTCATTTTTAGCGGATCCTGCGGGTTGAGAATTGAAATTTGACGGAAGAGTGTTAAAAGCTCCACCACCAAGATTATTGGTGTCGGCACTATTGAGAAATGGATTTGGTTGACTAATATTGCCTGTGGAATTGGACCGTCTCGGAGAATGTACATTGTTTGAGGACTGGTCAGCAAGAGTATTAGCAAATCCTGAGCCGCTATTCATCATATCATTTATTAATAATCTTACAAATAATTTAAATATCATAGCAAAAAAAATTTTAAGCAAATAGAACTTACATAGGGACTCGAAGATTACCCACATTGCCAAAGGTATCCATACCATCTCTGCAAATTAATAGAAACGATCAAAGTTAGTTCATCTTAGATCAAGTAAAATCGAATTTGCAATTAAACTCACCCAGAACTTCCAATGAGAGCAGCCAATTGCGGATATTTTTCATCAGTAGGATTAGATTTGATTGTCTTAAAGTTTAAAGAAAGATAGATATATATTAAAATTGAATATTAATAAGCGTATTTGTTGAAAATTAGCAACATAATAAAGTGTTTGGATATTTAACTTTATGAATAAAATGTAGTTGAATGAAAAGCTAACGACATAAACTCCTATATGCAAATAGGCCTACTGCATTAATACGAAAAATTACTTACCGGCTGTGGATTATCGTTAAATATATCAAACGTTGTTGTCGAGGTTGTCAAATTTGGAGAGCTAAAGTTAGATGCCAAACTTCCAGAAGAAGTAATGCTATTGTTTGTTTGGTATAAATTTGCTCGCTGCAACTTTTGTTGCTGTAGCTGTTGTTGCTGTAGCTGTTGTTGCTGTAGTTGTTGTTGCTGTAGTTGTTGTTGCTGTAGTTGTTGTTGTTGTAGCTGTTGTTGTTGTAGTTGTTGTTGTTGTAGTTGTTGTTGCTGCTGCTGTTGTTGTAGTTGTTGTTGTTGTTGTAGCTGTTGTTGTTGTAGCTGTTGTTGCTGTAACTGTTGTTGTTGAGCAAATTGTCCGAAGGGATTGTTTGATCCGACAGTAGCATTTGTTTGCAATGTTGGTGATTGCTGATAAGGATTGATTGATTGTTGTTGTTGTTGCAGTTGATATGGATTATTCAAAAATTGAGGTTGATTGTCAATTGAGCTAAAGGGATCTAATTGTTGCGAACTGCTTTGGTTTACACTAAATTGATTAATTTGACTGAATTGAGTATATGAGGTCATTGGATTGCCAAAGAAGTCTGTTTGTTGTGATTGGAGTTGATTGGTGGTATATCTATTTATAAAAATATAATTATAAGTAAATTTTTTCTTTTTATATATATACAAGTGACTCTTGATATATGAAAGCCTCCGGGTCCAGATAAAATCTTTCTTATATTGGGATTTTATCATATCGAAGCTTTTTGTTATAAACTTTTCAATCAGGACTTGTAAAATCTTTCTATTAAGTTTCTTATATCGAGAGTTACTTGTATATATAAAGTAGTAACTGACCTGGGATCAAATAATGAATTTTCATTTTGTTTTTCGATCATTGCTTGCCTCTTTTCTTCCTCTTCTTTACTTAATTTAAGTGCCCTCTTTAAATCTTCTTCTTCTTTAGTGCTGTATTTCATTAAATTTAATTCAGGTAAAAAAAAAAAAAAACGGATCAAAAGAATTTGAAATATTAAGTTCAAATGATAAGATTTAAAGTTTTATAAAGAATAAATTAATTTTTACCTATTTTTCTCATCTTCTTTTGCCGTTTTTAAACTTTCCGCAATCGCCTTATTTATTTCATCATCTTCATTGTCTAAACTTCCAGGATGATCATAAATTGGTGATGCATTATTTATACTTCTATCACCAGGTAAGTCATTATGACCAGTTAATCGATCTCTCATACTAGCTCTTTGAAGTCTTTCTGAAGTAAGGCGCTCATCATCTTGAAGAAGATTAGTAATATCTTTAGCCTTTTGCCGTACTATATAGTATCCAAAGAAAATATTTAATGAAATGCATTCACATATAAAAAAAAAAAACTTTTTCATGGGCGAAATCCAGAGCTGTCTGCTAGTAAAACTTGCCCAATAAATCATATAAGGGTGAAATACGCTTTTGCATAATAAACAACATAGCTGAACGACGCGACTCTCTACATAGCAGATTTTTACTAGCAGGCAACTCAGGTTTCACCCAGCCCTAAAATAAAAATTCCGAACTCACCATTTTGACCTTGATCTTTCCCATCATCATCTATATATTGGAACTCTCGTAGAGTTTTTACTACATATAGATTCTCTTTAGCATATGCAAC